AGGAGGGGAGCCGCAGCCCCGGGGGTCGGCACCAGCCAGGGCCAGCCCCCACTATGCCGTGCCGTGCTGTGCCGTGCCAGGCACCCGGCTGCCGGCACGCACCTGGCAGCGCGTTTTCCCTGATATGCGGGCTCGGGGGCCGAGCACCGCTCCCCTGCCCCCCGTTTCAGACAAGCCCAGCGCTGGGGAGAGGAGACGAACACACACGGGAGAAAGGAGCGCTCAGCAGCCAGGCCTTTAATTGCTCCGCAGGCTGGCAGCACCGCGGCCGGGCTCTGCCTGAGCCCCGGCTGCCGGGGGAAGGCCCAGAAAACCCTGTCCCAGGGAGCGCGGCCTCAGCATCGCCACAGAAACCTCCGCAAAGCCTCTTTTGATACAAAAGGCACCACGCGTGGCCAGGGCCGTGCAGCAGCCACCTCCCTGGCTGCTTCTCTGCCATCCCCGCCAGCCAGCCAGGGCCCCGCGGCAGGGACGTGCGTGCCCTGTCCCTCTGTCCCTCTGCACAGTCCCAGCTCCCACTGAGCTTCCAGCTGGAAGTGCTGGAGCAGCAGAGCCCTTCCCCTGGGCCCTCGCCTCCGGGCTCACGCCTGGGGCAGCCCAGCTTTCCCGGGGCCAGGCTCAGGGCAGCCAGGCAGGGCTGGCAGGGCTGAGCACAGAGCACGGCGCAGGATGGGTCCCTGGGGCAGATCCTGTCCCGCATCTGGCTGCCAGCCCTGCTCGGGGTGCGTCCTGCCCACACCGGGGAAACGGCAGGTCCAGGCTGGCCGGGGGCCACCGGGGTTCTGCGCTTTCGTTCCAGCATTGCCGGGATGCAGCGGAGCTGCGGGAGCCTGGAGGCGGGAGGGCGTGGGGTCTCTGCCCTCCCTCCCGCGGGAGGCTCCAGAGGCACGGCCAAAGTCACGCCGCCCCAGCCCGGCTGCGCCGCAGGGCGCTGGGGTAGTATTTGAGGAACAGCTTCCTGGAGATCTCCAGCGTGTCCCCAGCCGGCACGGCCGGGTAGCGCTTCTTGTTGTAGATGAAGCCTCTCTCCACCTGGAAGACAGCCTGGTTGAACTGGTCCTGGTGGAAGGGGGTGCCCGAGTTGAGGCTCTCCACCAGGGCAGAGACAAAGAGGCTCCAGCGCACGCTGTAGTAG